ACTCGATCTCATGTCAAATTTCTTCCTGATATAATCTTGCTTGCTGAGACAAGGTTTGTATACGTTGAACAGCAACGGCGAATTCGAGCGGATGATGGAAGGCTTCAGTTTGGGGCCAATAAGAGAAGGCGTGGACGAGGCCATTTCTGCAAGGTCTTTCTCGATCAGTTTAAATGCTGTCTACCTGGAATATAATCATGCTTTCATTCTGATTTACTAATCCTGAATGGTTTGCCCAAAAGATGCTGGTAGCTTTTCTGTTAGCCTGCGTTGCATTGCAGCTCATGTTTTATTCAAAAAAACAACCATGTGGCCCAGTGGCCCTACTTCTCATAACTTGACAGAAAGGTTCTAGCATAGCGGATCCGGCTTGCCTGCTCCCTCCTCATGCTCCCATCCGTGCTCCCACTCCATCCTACGGCTGTCTTTTAGCATGTTTTCATTTGCAATCTGGAATGATATATTGAACCATAAGACTTTAAGAGAGTGGTGGTGGGCAGGCTATCTTCGTGCAGTTTGGCATGGATGACTTCCGAATTTTGGCCTGTCTTTTCTCCACGCTTTTGTGCTTACTTCTCTGTAATGCTAGTATTCCATACAGTAGTAGTTTGGCAAGTGGCGTGTTTTGGGCTACCTTTTCATAAACCTGCCTCAGCAATGAACTTTGATCCTCAGTTGTCAATGAAAATTTCCGCAGGAGGGATACACAAATTCGCCTTCATGAAATTCACCTTCTTCATGAAATTATTTTTTCTTCCGTTGACAAGCCAAAGTTCCTTAGTCAGGTAAAGACTTGGGAGTATCAGTCCATCTGCTATGAGTTTTCTATTTAGACTTCCATATCTGCCATGTCACTACTTATATCATCAACTCTAATAAAAAAAATCTAGTTGCTGTTTTGTAGCTATCTACGCTGTTGTCCGATCTTGGATTGAACATTCGTGACGCTCATGTGTTCTTCACAACAGATGGATTGTGTTTGGCCATATTTCTTGTTGATGGCTGGGAAACAGAGGTAAACTTAGAGCATGGTTATACTGGAGCACATCTATACGTGTGACTGATTTATTATGATAGCATTACGACTAATCGCATCAGCTTTACATCATGTCGCTTGTGTGGGGTCAGAGCCAAGGAGATCTCGATCCACAGAGCTCCTCTCAAATTCTTGGTGATAACAGTCATATGTGCAGTCATTCCGTTTATATTGCTAGTCTGTTTGTCAACACATCTCTGGAACTGCATAAATTGCCCTTGGAAACTTCCGATTCTTGTAAGAGAAGATCCTGAAGGACACAAAATAATTGTTTACATAACAGTGCCAGTTGGCAAAAAGGAAAACCAGTTTATGTGTTTCCCCTAGCTAGTTACTGTCAATGAAATATACCATGGGCACCATCTTAGTTCATACAAGTATGCAGTAGATATGTAGCTTATAACGAAGTTATAAAACCTAGGGCTGTATTTTGACATTTACCCATGAATTTGGAGCCATTTTGACTTCGTAAGATGAAGTAACCGAAGTCATTTTGACTTTACAGACTTGACGACAGATACAATCGCTACACTTAGCAATTTGTTATCAATGTGCCCTGTAGATTCTTGTGAGTAGTGAAGCATCTGTAGGTTATATTACACATAGTTGCTTTCAAATATTTCCTTGAGTAAAATATTGCCTGGCGCTATATGCAGGAGACAGATGGTTTGCTGCAGCAGCTCAAGGAGACAGCGAAACGTAATGTATGCTTTCTCTTCTTTTTTAGTTACATTACTTACATGAATACTTCAAATCCTGGTAATTCAACTTTACTAAGTATGCAGATGCAGTTGCTGTAAACGCATGCAGTCAGCATTGCAAGAATTAACAAGTTGTGTCTAACCTTTTCCTAACAACTTTAACTTGTGGTACGCAGCCCTCGTTATCCAATCTAACAAGTTCAGCCTCGGAGAGAATATCAGAGCTGCAAGAAAAGATTGGAGAATCTGAATTTGACAGGGATCTGTTGCAGATTGAAGAAAAGATTGCGTCCGGATCTTCTGGAGACTTGTAAGAACTACATAACACTTGCTTAGAAATAGAGGAAAGACAGCCACCACTTAACTGCTACTCTGCTACTGTGGGCTGCATGCCTTTTCCTTGCATATTTACAGATGAAATAGGTTCACAAGGGACACTGCCAACAAACATAGTGAAATCAGCTGTATATGATTTGTGGAAACTTCAGGACAGCTCAGTAACCAGTGTTTTTCATTTTTCAGATATCGAGGAACTTACCTTGATGTGGATGTTGCAATAAAGTACCTTAGAGCTGAACATGTTAACGATAATTCAAAAGTGGAGTTTTTGCAAGAAATAATGATTTTAAGGTATGTTTCTTATTTCCGTGGCACTTAATCAACTTCACTGAACCATTTAATTCCAGAAGATGCTAACACAATATAGTCATGTACAGGAGCGTTAATCATGAAAATGTTGTTCGCTTTTATGGGGCATGCACAAAGCAGCGAAAGTATCTCATTGTAACAGGTAAGATACTAATATTGCTTGTTGTGGAATGAATAGCAATCAATATCCTTGTTGTTGCAGATTCACATGAAAGTTCTGTTATCCATGGGCACATTTACACTATGATTAATATTGGTGACTAAAAATTGGAGGTCATGCTTAAATAGCTATTAATAACACATTTGATAAACTTGATTTAGAAAAATGCAAAAGAAAGAAAAGCTGAGCTCGAAAGACAGGGGATAACTCCTGTCTTCTATGCATTTTGGTAGGAACTTCAGAGCAAATAAGTCTAGAGGGAAGTTGTGATATTTTGCTCATTACACCCATACGTAAAGAGTATCTACATCATGCTGCAACATAGTACAAGTCGACAGAATACAAGAGATGTCTGATTGGTGGAATCTTGTTGCTCTGTTTCTATCAGATCGACAGGTCTCTGCCCATCCTTCAGTCAGCCTATCATGCCTATCATTTGGTAGCTACTATTTCATGTATGATATATTAATATTTGTTTCCATAATTACATAAAGTTGCATTTTGAAATTTAATAGAAAATGCTACACCATTTACAAATGGACCTAAATACATTTTGCTGAACCGAGTATAAATCATTATTATAGTCACAATGTCATTTCTGTGCCAGTATGGGCCAAATGCCAATTTTCAAGTGCTTCTGTTACTGTGATGCTCTTGTTTCAATCTCAAAAGCACCCTGACATGCATTGGTCACTTGTTTGTTTTGATGTTTATTTGTTTTCTTGACAGTTCAAAGTAGTTTAGTCATGTAAATTTTGGCATGCCAAGTGAAGTATTTAGTGCATCGAAAGGCATCCAGTAGTTTGATACAAAGGCATCCAGTAGCTTGCTTACAATTTGTTCACTTTCATCTCTGCATTCTTCTACGTCTTCGTCTTGTGCGTGCATATAGATCACTGTTGGGGATCCCTGCACTGATCAGCTGCTTACATTTTATCTGTTTGTTTATACAAACTCCTACTTCTCAGGTTTCTCATAGTGGAAATCGGAGGCCTCTGTCCCCCCTTAAAAAGAAGTCTGTGTAGAGTTTATTTATTTATCATGAATCAGTTCGTAATTTCCTGTTAACTGATATTTTGCTCTTGTATTGTGTGTTTGTTTCAGAGTACATGGCTGGAGGTAATCTGTATGACTTCCTTCACAAGCATAACAATGCCTTGGAGCTTTCCTTGATTCTTAGGATTGCTATTGGCATATCAAAAGGCATGGATTATTTGCACCAGAATAACATCATCCATAGAGACTTAAAGTCTGCCAATTTACTAATTGGCAATGGTCAAGTACGCATATTGTTTTTAGTGTCAAGTATGCATATTTTTATAAATCCATGTACTTTTCAATTCAATATTATTAAAATGATAATTTGTTCTTTTGAAACAGATCGTGAAGATTGCAGATTTTGGTGTCTCTCGTCAACGATCGCAAGAGGGTGATATGACTGCTGAAACTGGCACCTACAGATGGATGGCACCTGAGGTGTGTTGTCGGTTTGTTCATTTGTCCCTTAGAATCTTTTCCCTTTCTAGAATATCCAATATCTGATATTTGCTCGACCACTCTTTTATTGTTACAACACATATGTACCAAGACTAAATCCCTGCGCCTTGTACAGAAACTATGTGCTATAACTTGGTAACATATTGCCTTGTTTTCCTTCGTTATTTATTACTCATCCACCTCTTCCCAGCAAGTTTATGAGGAAATGCATATTTCTGCGTACTATCTCTGCTTGAACTTCGGTCAGAGCTTAAAAGGCAGGTTCTATGTAACTGAGCTGCCTACGCGGTGTGCTTATTAAAAGTTGTTGTCCTGCCAGGTGATAAACCATAAGCCTTATGATCACAAGGCAGATGTCTTCAGCTTTGCTATTGTTCTATGGGAGTTGGTCACTTCAAAGGTAACTTGGTGTTCTCTCCAGCTTTTTAGTCTTGTTGAGTTCATCAAACATCAGTACTTCGGTTAAAGGTAATAACCTTACTTGGTCCTGCTATACAGGTCCCATATGAAAACCTGACACCATTGCAAGCGGCACTGTCAGTAAGGCAGGTACGACATGCAATGCCAACAAAGTTAAATTACAGTTTCGGTATTGTGCATCAGCTGTCGATAGTGGACGTGCAAGTATGAGAAGTGAGCATTGCTCCTTGTTTGCCAGGGACTTCGTTTGGTGATTCCCTCAGGTGTGCATCCGAGATTGTCTAAATTGATTCAACGGTGTTGGGGCGAAAACCCCCATACGCGACCCGTTTTCTCTGAGATCACCGCGGAACTGGAAGATATCTTGCGGCCTATTCAGGTTAGGTTGCTGCTGGATATGTAGGCCTGAAGGCTCATGAGAAGATGGAATTTGAAAACTAAATGAAGTGAAGTTATTCTGGTTAATATTTGATGGGTTCCTCCGATTGATGAAAAGCAGCATGTTTCTGCAGGCCGCCTCCAGCTCCAAAGGAGGCCATCGACATACCAAACAAAAGATACAGATGAAATCACAGCGATAGAAAGAAGGCGCATGCTCCTGGACCCTCTTTTCACATTGTCGCCCACTAAAAAGCGCGACATGCGCACACCGTCTCCTGTATATATGTCATGTACATAAATTTTGTGCTCGGTTGTTTTGATTCCCCCTAAAATGCTCACAGGACGAACTGGGTTAAGTTAGCACACCCGTGCTACATAACCTGAGTGATATAGTTTTATGTTTTATATGGTTATTTGTTTTGCGAGTGGCTTAATAGTTCGGTGTGTTTGAATTTTGGTTCATGTACGATTATGAGTTCGTCTTGTAAGGAACATGAGATGAAAATGCCATTATCACATGTTCCATTTTGGTTATTATTTAACATATTTTCTTGTCTGGAACACGATAAATTAACAAGTTTTTGCAGCTTCGTTTGGCATCTTATTTTTGCAGGAAACAATAAACAATTCGGTGGCCACAGGAATCGAGGGGAAAAATGATCCTGTGTGTGGTTGGGCTTGGCCCAGTAATTATCACCACGTGACCATCTCGGCTCTCGGGTAATGGATCTCTTGGCCCAATTGACATATTTCCTATTTCCATTCCAAGAGAAAAAAAGGTAGATCTCAAAAAAGAAAAAAAGAGGAAAATATATTGCTGGTATGCTCCTATTCCAGTGCTTTCTAGATGGCAGGGAGGAGCACAGAAGAGCATGGTGTGTTGTGTCAGTTTGTTCATTGTCCTTTAGCATCCTTTCCCCTTTCTAGAAAATATCTAATATCCTATATTTTTGCAGGAAACAATAACAACTCTCAGTGGCGGCAGAAATCGAAGGGAAAAAAACCCGTATGGGGTTGGGCTAGGCTCATTTGTTGTGAACATACATCATCTTGGGTAAGGATCTCTTGGCCCAATTGGCGCATTTGTTATTTCCTTTCCAAGAGAAAAAGGTAGATCTAAAAAATATATATTAAAAAGGTCTCGCTGGCATGCTCCTATTCCAGTGCTTTCTAGATGCAGGGAGGAGCACGGTGGGTTGTCGGTTTGCCCATTATCCTTTAGTGTTCTTTCCCCTTTCTAGAAATTATCAAATGCCCTATATTAGCTTGACCACTCTTTTATTGTCGCAACATGCATATACACACGACTAAATCCCTGAACCTCCTGCAGAAATTATGTGCTATAACTTGGTAACCAACAGCATTATTTTCCTTCAAATTTTATTACTCATCGACATCTTCACAGCAAGTTTATGAAGAAATGCATATTTCTGTGTACTGTCTCTGCTTGAACCTCCGTCAGAGCTCAGATGACAGGTTCTATGCAACTGAGAGGTATTGTGCCTATGCAATGTGCTTATTAGAATTCCTTGTCCTGGCAGGTGATAAACCGTAAGCCTTACGATCACAAGGCAACTTTGTGAAGGTAAGCCTTGCTGTTCTCCCCAACTTTTAGTTTTACTGAGTTTTTCAGACATCACGAGTACTTTGGTTAAAGGTTATATAGCCTTGCTCTTGATTGGTCCTGCTATAAAGGTCCTGCACAAAAATCTAACACCATTGCGAGTTGCACTGTCAGTAAGACACAAGTACGTATTTAGCAACAACAAAGTTAAATTACAGTTTCGGTATTGCGCAGTGAGCTGTCAATAGTGAGCATACACGCGTGAAAAGTGAGCATTGTTCCTTCTTAATCAGGGACTTCGCTTGGTCATCCCCTTGAGCGTTCATCCGAGATTGTCTAAATCGATTCAACGGCATTGGGGAAAAAACCTACATATGTGCCCGTTTTCTCCAAGATCACTGGGGAACTGGAAGATATATTGCGGCCTATTCAGGTATGTTTGCTGGAATTTGTAGGCCACAAGGCTCATGAGAAGATGGAATCTGACAAATAAAGTGAAGTATTCTTCTGGTTTATTTTGCCTGCAGGCCTCCTCCAGCTCCAAAGGAGTCCATCGACATTCCAAACCAAAGGCAATTAAATCACGTCGGCAGAACACCCAGGCCTTTATGGCCTGGCCCTCTATTTTCAGTTTTTCATATTGTCGCCTTGAATAATCGTGTGTGTGTCAACTGTCCCCTGTATGTATGTCATGTATATTGAATTTTGTGCTCGGTTTCCTAAAATACATGCCGGGAGAACTGGGTTAGGTTGTCGCATGCTCGTGCAACATAACCTAGAGGTGATATAGTTTTATGTGTTGCACGGTTTTTTGTTCTGCAAGTGGCTAATAGTTATGTACCCTTTGCATTGTGGTTCATGTACAATGATCAGTTGGTCAGAAAGAACAGATGAAAATGCCATCACATTTTCCATTTTGGTATTATTCAATATATTTTTCTTGCCTGGAATCCGATGATTTAACATGTTTTTGCACTTTCTTTGGCATCAGATCGATGTTTTTGGTAGGAATTGATAACAGCTCGATAGCAGCAGGAATGGAGAAAAATCCCTCTGTAGGGTCTAGCCCTTGCCTAATCTCTGATAATGGATCTCTTTGCCCAGTTGGCATATTTGGCTACTGTACATTTCTAACGTTTTCTTGGCAGATAATAGCCGGAACAGGAGGGGTGTAACTTTTTATTTTGGATTGGAAGGGGTGCAACTATGTCTCACTTGACGTGAAGCAGTAGCACGTCTCGCCTCAAACAATCGTCAGAATGGGCCGGCCCAGTGCGGACCACAAGCCTTATCCACTTTTTTTTCATCCGTTTTATTTTATATTTTTGCTTTATTGTTTTTACTTTTGCTTATATTTCGAAATGTTCTAAATATATTTGTGGTAAAAAATCACTTTACATACAAATTTGAAAAATGTTAATCCTGCATTTGAAAAATGTTAAATGTGTATATAAAAAATATTTTTGATGTATATAAAAATGTACCGTGCATACTGAAAAACGGTGAATCCTGCGATCGTTTTTCAGCGCCGTCCTTCAGCGGCTCCCATCCGCCGGTGACCTCGGTCGTCGGTGGTGAGAGGGGTCGACGGATTAACGCGTGTGGATCATTTTTAATCCCTTGTAGTATAGGTTTTTAGGCTATTCATCGTCTTGGCTTCGGCGGCGATGATGACGGCGCTCAATAAAGATTCTTCGGATCCTTCCTTGATGAGGCCATCGGTCCTATGGTTGAGAATAGATTTGAAAACCAGTCTGTTCAAACAAGGATTGTGTGGCGGCGGCGGTATCCTCGTGGTGGGCATGTGTTCTCAGGCTCCCATGTTGCGACAATGTTTACTCCAGCGTCGACGCGGAGTTTGGGAGGTAGTCCAGGAGCGGATGTAGATTGTGGTCTGCATCGACGACTTCTGAAATATGGGTTCATGGTTCATGGATGGCAGGTATGGTTTCCTCATTCGGCGTCTTAGTCGTGGTGGGGTGCCAGATCTGGAGTCCGATGGCGTGTCTGTGGTGTTGCCCTAGTCGGGTTCATTCAACGGCAATGGTTTCACTTTTCGTGAGCCACCTTGGAGGTCTGTAAAGCTGCATATCAGCGATGGAGCTGCGTCAAGCTCGGGTGAGGAGGTGATCCGTCATTCTTTTCTTCGGTGGCTGCTGTGGTGGTGCCGAAGGCAGGGGACGGGCGTTGGTGTCAAGCTCAGAGATGTTTTGCTATCTTTTCAGTTTTGTCATGTCAATCCTTATATGACTTGTATTTTATTCTTTATGATATGAATGAGACACGTATTATCATGCAAAAAAATACTGAAAAATTGTGGGCCCAGTTTTCAAAATGTGACAAGGATGCACCACGTGTCGACAAATCACTAGCTATGTGTCACGGGAGTAACTCCCAACAAGCACACCAGAAGAAGACCAAGGACGACTCGCTCGGCCCAAGCGGGGGACGAGGCCCAACCCAGAAAACACATGAGCTCCACCACCTAGATCATTAGCTTTCAATTTGTAAATTTACTTTCGAAGGTAGAGCTGCGAACACATATGCCGATAGGTTAGCAAAGTATTCTCACTCTTTGGATCAGGGATGGCACGTCTGGCTGACTGAACCTTATGATCCTTTCTGTATCTCATAACACGTGAAATTTGAGCAATAAAGCTTGGTTTAACCCCTAAAAACAATCTTCCTAGAGAGGACCGATGAACTGAAACCTGAACCAGCCACCGCTGGGAGTGAATAGCCAGGGCCGGTCCTGAGATTTTGGGGGCCCAGGGTGAACCTAAATTTCGGGGCCCTTAATAAACATATCATAGTAATAAAAATGAATATATGTTTATATGAAAAATTACCAATAACACTTAAATTCATCCAAACTTAATATGCATATCAAATAATTTATAGATATTACCTTAAAAGTTTCTTCTAACAATCCTCGGTGCAAAGTCACTTATGGTGGGGTCGATGGCAATCTCATCTAATAATTTCCTCTCGATGCATAATGTAGCCAAACCATTTAACCTCCGTTGATTCATTGTTGTCCTCAAATAATTCTTGAACAATTTCAATTCCCAAAACCGTGTTCAAGTTCATTATCACTTAATGACTTAAGGATGCCCGAGCTCAATAAAAATCCAAATATATTTTTAACCACCATGAGTTCTTTAAATCTATCCTTCAAAGAAGTGATCGTCATATCAACCAAAACCAAAAAATTAACAAATACTTAACTTGGAAATCCTTCTCAGCTTCTAGAATTTATTCTTGACAATCACTTTCGTCAAACTGTTGACATTTTCTTCTTACTGATCAAATTCCGAATTCCCATTAGATTGTTGATCTTCCTCTATGACAACCATCGGTAACTCATCATCTGGGTTTACCAAAGTACTGGAAGCACCAATACTACTCTTGAAATATGTATGAATATGTCTGCGCTGTGATTGTATCAATTTATCCACAGCCTTCTCCCATTTTTCCTTTTATTACCACTCGATGCATAGTTCATGTTTCTCGCCGACATGATAACACACAATCCTCAAAAAGAAAATCATCGGATCAACTATTGCACATGCATCAAGGAATGGCAAATCACCAATATGATATACCTGATCCTGATGGTCGAATATGTGATGAGCGTCAGTCCGTGTACTGTGTGCAGCTCCTAGAGTCAGAGAGCAATTGACCAAAGACGGGCGTGGCGATGGGCTCCTTGAACTGAAATCAGCGGTGAACTC